TTAAGTGTTTTTTTGGGGGGAGGGAGACGGGTTCATGGAACGGGGTTCTTTTGTGTGTGGGGTGGAAGAGTGGGAGGGATGTGTCTGGACACACACACACACACACACTACTTAGACTGATAATGATAACAAAAAAAAAAAAAAGAACTCGACTGGAGGATCTCTTTCGAATGTCGTCTGAAAGGGGGGTTCGGCGCAGCTTGTATGGAAGATGTGAGACGGCCGAGAGTCGATGAAGGATCGGGAAAAAAGAAATGTACAAGTATGTATATATGGACGATGGAAGACCGGGGAAACACTGTCGTTTATTTGGGAGGAAGAGTGTATGATCGTTGGTCGATGATGATGATACAAGATACGAGAAGACGAAGCGGAGGTCGAAAAAAAGCGACTGGGCTGGGGGGCTGTTAGAGTTTCTTGCAGCCGGTCTGTTGTTTCCAAGCCTAAATCAACCCAAAGGAAAGGATAAGTATAGTGACAAGAAGAAAGAGAGAGAGAGAGGGGGAGGAAAGGAGCGTACGCCGACGACGCGTTTGCGGGTTCTGAGGATGCCGAAGCGGACCTCGAGTTTGACGAGTTCGAGGCGCTTGCGTACGGCGGAGAGATGGTGAGGATGTTCAGAGGCGGGGGAGAGGTGGAAGCGGGTGAGGAAGGGGAGATGGGCGGGGGGCTTGGCGGGAGCGGGGTGAGTGGGGAGGGAGAAGATCGGATGGGCGGCCTGGTGGAGGGCGTAGGAGACGGGAGGACTGGGAGGGGCAGGAGAGGAAGAAGAAGAAAGTCTCAGATGAGCCCAGAGGGTGCGAGTCCAACTGGATCGTGAGCCGCGCGAGGACGAGGCGGTGGTTGTGGGCGAAGAAGAAGAAAAGCTTCTTGGGCCGGGGTTTGAGGGATGACCAGCAGGAGAGGCGGGTGGATGGGGCGGCGGGGGCCGAAGGCGGGAGGGAGTGGTAGGAGGAGTGGACGACGAGGTTGGGGAGCGCTTGAGGGCTCGAGCGGGTCCAGTGGGAACTGCTGCTGGGCGAGTGCGGCTGGGAGGCTCGGGTGGATGTGGACTCGGAGGAGTCGGAGGAGGAGGTTCTGCTGGAGGAGGAGGTGCTGCTGCTGCTGCTCCTGGAACGCAGACTGGCATCCGAGGAGGTGCTGGTGGATGAGGAGCTGCGCGAGTGGCGACGAGGTTGACGGACGGTTGCTAGGGTCTTGAAACGACAATCTGTATGTGAGGATTAGGGTTGGATGATGAGCGTACAGGTTTACTAATTAAATGATGAATACAGTCCAGGGCTTACGTTCGGGGTCATGTTCGTTTCCATACTCGTCGATCAAGAAGCCACTGGCGCGTTGTTGTTGTTGGAGGGAGAAGGCGGAGAGGGAGGATGACCAGGAGGGGTGATGGTCGTGTTGGTGTTGATGGTGGTGGTGGAGCTTTGAGCGAGACTTGGGATGGTTTCGTGGTCTGAATGGTGCCCTTGAGTAGTGATTGAGATGGGAGGAGTTGAGTTCGGTTGAGGAGAAGGACAGAGTTGAGTTTGAGGAGAACATGTTTGAGTTCGTTTGGGAGTGGATTCTTTAGAAGTACAGTTGGAGATGGACAGAGGAGGATGAGTGTATGTAGTTGAGATGGGAGGGGGGATGCAGGAGAGAGGGGTGTTTATGTAGTTTTCCCTTTCGGAGTCGGAGGGTGTTATAGCTGGGTTGGACGATGATGTGAATGACAGTGATATGTACAGAACCAGCACCAGCCAATCAGCAGGCCGAGCTGGGATTATAAGGGCATTCCTGTGTACCTGTTCATGACCATCAGCCGGGGGCGGAACAGCCTGGAAGCAGCAGACCGTCAACTCCGACAAAGAACCCAACCCATCACAACAAGCCCCAATCCAAAGACACACACGGGCAGTGTTCAAGGGGTGTACATAGATATCCAGCCATCAGCCGAACTGGGACATCTGTCCTCCTTCCGAACGGGCTGCTGTCCTGCCCTATAGACAGCACCCTGCCCCTGCCCCTGCCCCTGCCCTGCCCTGGATGGCCTTCCTGTGCCTTCAAATCTTGTCCATTTTATTACCCACTTCACTCACTCATTTTCTTGTACATACACACACACACACACACACACAGGAAGAGGAGTCTATTTTACAAGGATCAGCATGATCTCCATATGTACATACATAAAAACATCAGCGCCGGTTTCCTTTTCGTTTATAAACTCTCCGCGGCATAATTATTATTACAAAAGATCAGCGAGTTTTCCAGACATGTTGTATTTAATAATAAAAGTAGAATCGTTCTTTATTGTTCGCGGCCAAGGAGTACGACCCAGGTGAAGTCCAACTCGGAAGCAGATCGCCTGATGAATACATGTTAGACGGCATTGAATGATCTTTCTTCTGGCTCTTGTAAATATATCAAGCAGATGATGGACGGACACACAGTTCGACGGCGGGGAAGAACCTCCTCCGCTCCGCCACTGAACCCTAATCATCTTTGCCGCCATCATAGTCATCACTGTGTTTGTAATAATATGATGACGATGGAGCCTAACAAATCGTGTTCTTGCACAGCCGTCCATGACTGTCGAAGGATGATGATCGAAAACCAGAGAGAGCCGATGATCGTCTGAGCCGAGAGGGAGTCTGCCATGAGTGTTGAAAAAAAAAAAAAAAACAAGTGAAGGCCGACAAAAGAGAGCAACGCTGATCAGCGCCCTCCAATCATCCGCTTCACGGTCCACATATTCCAAGGTTGCAGTGTGCTTCCGGGTGGCCCTTATGAATGCTTGGGTTTGTTGAGCACCGACTCCGATGGCGATGGCGATGGCGATTGTGACGAGTGGGATGAGGAGGAGGTGGGTACATTACTATTCTGAGCTGAAGGAGGCGATGATCAGATGGCGATGGATACCAACAAACAAACAAACAAGCAAACACGAGAGCATGTGATATACTGATCAGCTTGTAAATAGATGCCGAGCCCTCGATAATTCAGTCTTGATTCGATCATCATCATGAGGTTGGGAGGAGAGACTGCATGACTGAGAGCGCGGAGCTGTGGATCATCGGGAGGCTGTTATAAATTCACAATCTATACTCCGGGACAGCGTCCGTGTGCTTGAGCATGTTATTGTCTTGACTCATGAGGGAGTTCATCTTCAGCCGCAAGAGTTGTACTTACACTTATCCTAGGGATACAATAAGCAGGGTTCACTTGGAAGCCAACTGATTTGAAATGGAAGCCCTTTCCTTTTTCTTTTTGAAAATTTGGGATACAATCAGATCCCCATCAATAATTAAATGACCCACCATGATGATTGATCACTGTACAAATTAACATCTTTGAGATCCTTTCCCCCAACGATTGATTATAGGAAGTGCATAATGGGTCAAACATCTGCAGGATCTTCCATCCAAGGATTCTCCCAACTGGCCTCTTCCTCTCAGATCCTGAACAAGTGGTGCCCTTGTTCAGATGGGGGGAGCTGATTCATTGCTTGATGAAGTTTTCAAACCAAATTGGTTCCTAAACCTGTTTTCATTTATTACTGTTGAGTTTTTCTCCTCTCTGGCTACTCCTCACCAAAATCACTTACACCTTTCCCCATTTTTTCTTTCTTTCTCCTTTCTTGAATCATCTTGAACTGGACTGAATTATAGCATATCATAGCTGGTTTTCTGTTGAAACTCATGCATTTGTGTAGTCTAATTAGAACTCCCTATAGCAATTTAATCAACAACTCTTGTCTTCATGATTGACTTCTTTCTTTTTCTATGTTCATTATCTGATTCTTAAAAACTAATTATTTAGAATTAACGCCTCTGAATATTTGTGATAGAATTCTTGTTTTTTCTTGATTAACTCTTCTTGCCTGACTAAAAGAGACTGAGAAGTCCTGCCGAGATTGTTTCTTCCAAGAACTCAATTTATTCTTTCTCTTAGTTTTTATTCAATATCCTATTTTTATTCATTCTCAACCAACCACATTTTGACACACTTGTATCTAGTCTATTTAAACCTAGCTAGATACTTGTGAATAAAAAATTATTGGTTCTTTCACTCTTTTTCCGTGAACCTTTCCCAAAAATAAGATCCTCAATTTTTGGCCCTCCACCTCTTACGCGCCTGAGTCGTAAAATTTCAACAATTACTTCAACTAGTATATGCCCCCAAATTTGGGGAGGCTGGTAGTTTTTGCCCCGGATGTTGGGGGTTTTACTTGTTTGAAGGTCTAGCCTTTGATTTTGAAGGTGTAAAGTCTTGTAAAGTCCTAGTGAATGTCAGATATGACATTAGGGGGGTTCACAATAGCTTTTATGGCTTCTGGTCCCCCCTAAAAAAATTCTTGCTGGCGCCTTTTTTTCTCTTAAATTTTAAGCTAAAAACACCAGCGATAATTTGACCAACATCCGTAAACACTGCTGGTCATTAAATAAATTTAACCACCCATATTTGGCCCCCCCTTACGCGCCGGTGTTAGAAGCCGCATGAGAAACAATAGAAATACTGATTGAAGCCTGACGGTTTGTTTGGTTCTCTGAGGCTATTCCTTAAGTTATAGTAGAAGATACGCTGTTTCAAAGCTGATTTTTGCAAATTCATAAAGTTCATATGTAAAAGTTTTGAGAAATGTTTCAACAAAGAGGAATTTGAAGGTTCAGAAAATTCAAATTTTGAACCTCTTAATGAGCTTATGATTTCATGTAGAATTCTGTTCAAAAATCAACTTTGAATCCCACTAATATGAATGGCTGTGTGACAGTTTTGTTCATAATCCTGATAGCCACAAGCCCTGATCAAAAGGGCTCTTGAATAGTGGCCGCCAGCAGACGATTTCCTGGGATCAGTACTTCTAACAAGCCAAGCTTATTGGGTAGGAGCTTTGTGAAAAGAAAGATCCTTTGGAGCTCCCCTTTTAATCCATCCATCCAGAGACCTGTTTTCAATTTGTTCTTGAACTCAAACGACTTTGTTTTGGGAGGCAATCATGAGCCACTTGTTTTTTGGTCCAACTTCCTCAAGACTGAACTGTGCCAATGTTGTGGGGAGCTTGACTATCATCAATCACGACTTTCCTAAATGGACTGTATCTGGAATCACAAAGAAAGCTTCCTTCCCAAGCATTAGCAATCCATATGGTCATGAACATATGTTGAACTACATACATCATGTTGAATACTCTTTATTTCTATTTTTTTTTTTCAATTTTCTCCAGAAGTGTATCTTGAGAGGAAGAGGTTTGGTGAAGCTAGCTTGTCAGGGAGAAATCTTGACATACTCTACTCCTCTTACCTAAAAACCTACTTATTATTATTATTATTTCTTTCTTTTTACATTCATCATAACCTGAATCATTTGTTAGTTACTTTGACTTTAGAAGCATGATAGTAGCCAACTGGCACACTTGTGTAGGTCAATGAAAGCTTGTTTAGTAGTCAGCTGTGTTCATTCCAGTCTCAAAAGATGCTCTCTCAATAGTATTCAGATTCATTCCTACTTCTTATTCATTTTCTTGTCAACCACATATTGCCCACTTGTCTAGTTAGTCCATTTAACACCATTCTACAGACTACAACAAGAAATTATTATCATTGGTTTTCCTTAACCCCCCAACTGTGCCAATGTCTTACAAGTTCCCTAAGTTCATAGCACTCAAGTCTGATCATTCTCACCTACACTGTTCATCCAACATTTTTCATATTCAACAATATAAATTGAATTTTATTTTTTCACATTGTAAGTAAATGTAGGTAGAAAAGACTGGATTCCCTTTAGCACTCTCATCATTTCTATGGTACTCTTTTCAGAGATGTGCCGTAGTGCACCTCTTAGGATAGATATGGAAACAAGTCCCTCCGGCTATCCAAGTGTGGGTGGAAAATAAAGGTTAGTTCTTTCATTTATTAAAATATTTTTATGTATTTTTAATATATTTTATGAAGAACAAAAGGTTTATAAGACCCACGGAAATGATCTAAGAAAGTAATTTTATTCAACTTTCATATCTAGTAATCTTTGGGTTCTTTCCTACCAATGGAAAGGAGATAGGTTTGGGAGCAGAAAACCCCTATAACTCAGGTGGAAAAATTTCTACTGATGATAGGAGCCTGAGCCTAGTGATAAAAAACCCATATTGCCAACCCATCTAGATAAATTTCACACAGATCAAATTTCTTCCCACAACTTGTTCAACTTTCTAATTATCTTCTTACTGGCTACTTTATCTTATTCACTATATTCTCTTATATATAGTCTGTAACAATTGGAGATCCATCTTCCTAGTAAACAAATCTCTTCTACCGGCGTCCCTAAAGCATATTGTAGAGAAGCTACTCCGGCTTGAAAAGAATGTCCAAGTAAGCCTTCAAAACCTCCAGTTCTTAAGACTAGTTGAATCCAATTAACCGCTATCAGCGGTGGGCCGCTACGCTACGCTTTTGGCCCAAAAAGCGTAGCGTAGCGGCGCTTTTTTCATCCAAAAACCGTAGTGTTAGCGGTTTTTTAGCGGGTTTTTGCTACGCTACGCTGCGCTACAGCGCTTTTAGCGG